TCAATCCCCTCCTTCCACAAACTGTTAATAACCTTATTAACCCTATTGGAACCAATACATGCTTTAGTGTGTTGGTCATTTAATTGAAGTCATGTAATTTAAACTATAATGCATTAGATCCATAGGCAATGTATCAATCGTGTTTGTTGGTCATGACAAGAGAGAAGTTTTGATGTTCTCTTCTTGATATCACTAGTTTGAATCATGTGAGGTGTTTTGATGTTCTCATCTTGAAACCTTTAATTTTTTTCAAGCAAGGAGTTTGAATGTTCTTGTATTTAAGCCATTGGGTTCGGTGAAGTGAGTTTTTTTATGTTCTCGACTTTGGCCCTTTTGGTTATGGAAAGTGAGGAGTTTTGATGTTCTCACTTGGACCCTTGGTTTGAATCAAGAGAAGAGTTTTGATGTCCTCATCTTGAAACCTTACAGAGTAAGCACTTAGGTCGTTTGATAGCCTTCAGGTGAAACTCGACAACGTTGATATGTGGCTTACTTTGTGTTTGTCATATTCAAAAGATACGGGTCTCCCCCATCACCAAAAGGTATTATTCTTGCATTGTGTATTATCCATGGTTTCGGTGTTGTTTTGGGTTATGTAGTGATCTATATGTTATGGTTTTGGTATCTTGGAACTTATCCATGTTTTGGGGTTTGGATATTAGAGTTTTTATCCATGTTTTTGGTATTTAAGTGTTAAAATCTTATTCGCAATTTCAGTGAGTATTGAGTTTTGGTTTAATGTTAAATGGGTGCTTCGATTCACGAGTGTTTATTACGAAAATGATGGGTTCTAGGAAAGATCTTGGTTTGTATTTAATATATTTCATGTTGAAAATTGTGATTTGAATAACAGTCTTTTCATTTTAATGATGAAAACAACTTGAACTCACTAGACATTAAGTCTGACCTATTTTATTTATAGGCATGTCCAAAAGGTCCTCGTGGGGGCGGTGTTAGCGACGCTTGCACAAAGCTGAGTGCTAGTTAAAGACTCATGGGGGACTTAAATCTTTGGGACGTCTTCATATTGTTAGAGATAGCAACTTTCTGTAAGGGTTATAATAACACCGGTAATTTGTTCGAAGATAGATTCTAAGTCGTTGACATTGACTTATTCACATATCAAGCAATTTAATTTTTAATCTCTATTATTCACATATCAAGCAATTTATGGAGTGGGTAGAGATTAAAAATGTTGAAGAGTCGTGTGACAATCGGATCTTGGTTATCACCTGAGGTAATAAATACGTGATTATCTGATTAAATGATTACGTGATAGCATGATAAATTTGTTTTATTTGATCATGCTAGTGTGTGGAAATTATGTGCATAATATAGATGCATGTATAAAATTATGTGTATATGTAGAAGTATATATATATATAAAGAGGTTGGTTCAAATACTAACCCTTTTTTTGTGTTAACTATGCTAACCAACATCAACCAATCATGTTCCATATTTTAGTTAGGTTCAAATGTAACTCACATATTAAGTGTAAGGGTATTTAGGCAATTTGTCATTTTTATGTAACTCCCCAATATTTTAATTGGGAGTTACAAATCTTAAAATATCACTAATTGATCTTCATGTAATAATGACATGAAGTTTCACATTTGTTCATCTTAATGATTTTTACATTTCATTCTTCCTATAATGGTTTTGATATTGTAAATTTCAAAAAAGTCTCTTTTGTAAAGATTTCATTATAGTCCGAGTAATATGGATAATCATAGAATAAAACAGATCGACGACAATGAGAATGAAAAAGATAAAAGCGTCTACGAATACATTCGGAATTCGAATTCCGAAAATGAAGAAAATGATCAAACCGTTCACGCACATATTCACTCAAACGCCGACATATGTGTTCACTCCTGCACATATGGGTTCAATTGGTTCACACAATATATCCATTTGGTTCATACACATGTTTCAATTGTTCATTAAGTTCACACATTGTTTTGATGAAGATTATGAACCTAATTTTTCAATTGTTCATTAGGTTCACACATTGTTTTGATGAAGATTATGAACCTATTTTTTCAATTGTTCATTAGGTTCACACATTGTTCATTAGGTTCACACACATGTTTCAATCTTATCTGGATGTTGTCGCTTGGTAATCCTCCATTGTTTTGATGAAGATTATGAACCTAATTTTTAGCTACTGATTTAAGATATTGATCGATGAGATTGACGGTTTCTTTATTGATTGGAAGTTACAAAATAGGATACGTTAAGATCATTCA